AGCACAAATCGGACTTGATAGCTTTTAATTTTTATTTTATTATTTTAATGAAAATATTTTTTTTCATTTACATTCAGAATATGGTTTGTCTTCCCCTCTCTCACGAGGCCTGGAGTTTATTGTGAAAGAAAGAATTCTTCCCAGTCCTTCCCATCTCTTTTCCCATCCAGATCCACATTTCAGTTTCTCAATAGAAAACAAACAGAAATCTAAAGAATAACAAAAAGATAAAATAAAATAAGGAAGAAGAAGAGGACTCAAATTTGAGAAGGTAAGAGAGGGGATGAATCTAAGAGTAGATGATAGAGATAGGTAAATACGATCAAAATATATTGTATGAAATTCCCAAAGAACTAAAAAAAATTTTAAAGGGTCATTTATTTTTTTGAAGATTAAATAACAAAGATTAAAGGGCATGACTGAGAAATACACACTGCACAAGGATACACACAATAGTAATTAGTACTTAACAAAACTCACCCACCCACACCTCACCCATCCTGTGTTAGCAAGGCTCAGGATACATTCTTCCACATGAGACTCATTTTACAAAAACAACACAAAGCAAAAACAAAAACAAAAAAAGTAAGAAAAGGGAGGGAGGAGGGAAGGGAGGAAGGAAAAACAGAAGGAAGTCAAAACCCTTCCTGTGGAATAATGGAAAGAAAAAAGTGTGTGAGGGACAACACTAGTTTACTGATTGTACTGTGAGAGAACCAGGTCATATGTCTTCAATAAACAAAATGTAGCGTAATACAGGAATAGACAGGCTCTTGAAAAAGGAGACAGGGTTTCATGCCAGACATCTCATTATTTGACCGTAGAACTGTGACACAGAAGCTCACTTATCCCAGTTATTCAGTCTATGTATCCAGCAAATCACAGAACTCGTGATGTTTTTGAAAGCACAGGGGAGAAATGTGTGACACTATAATGCCTGTGGCTTTTCCTACCAAACATCCAGGTGAATAAAAGGCCCTTGGCAGATGGTGACACCCACATTCAAGAAACCTCCCTGTTGTCCATAGCTGAACAGTCTATTCCTGACACCATGTGTTACTATGGTGGATACTATGGAGGCCTTGGCTATGGCTATGGTGGCCTATGCTATGGCTATGGCTGTGGCTATGGCTGTGGTTATGGTGGCTATGGTTATGGCTGTTGCCGCCCTCTGTGCTGTAGGAGGTACTGGTCTTATGGCTTCTACTGAAGAGTTTCTGCAGCTTCTTAATCTATTGGCTATAACCTGCTGTCTTACTAGAAGTATCTCCAGATCAAATCATGAATTCTTAAATATCTTCAAAACGTCCAACATTATACTGAACTATGAGCAAGATGAATGGCCAGCAGTGTGTCAGTCTTACTCCTCATCTTCAGGTGGACTGTATGACAGCTTATAGGGAAAGAAGTTCTTCATAATCTTCATAATCCTGGTCCAGTAGAGAAATTACCTGTGTGGAAAAATATGCTTTTGAATAAAGTATTTCTTTGAAAATATTCCTTTCTTACATCTTTGTTAACGTCTCTATTGGTTTGGGATACATGCTTGCATATTTGTGTCTTCTTCATCACTTATGTGTAATAGTGAATAAGTGAGAGAAGATTAAAGGAGAGAGAATACAAAGGAAACAGAGCAGCAGCGGGAAACATTTTGATTTTGGATTCATATATTGATAGACATTTTGATTGTTTCTATAGAGCTGCTATTGTATGTAATGTCACAAAGAACCTGTTAGTAGCATACATACCCTTGTGAACAAATCCTTTTGTCTGCTAGTTAAGTTTTCAGAAGAACCAAAAATTAGTTTTACTAATATTTTGGGAGGAGTCTACACAGTGTTTCCTGTAATGGCTGTTATCAAATATATTCTCAATAATGTACAAGGTTTCTGTTCCTTCACATGTTTTCTAACACCCATGTGTTGGCTAGCTTTATGTCACTGGAAGGAGGGAACTTCAATTGAGAAAATGCCCTCATAAGATCCATCTATAAGGCATTTTCTTAATTAGTGATTGATGGGGAGGGCCCAGCCCATTGTGGGGGGGTGCCATCCCTAGGCTGGTGGACCTAGGTTGTATGAAAGAAGACTGAGAACGCCATATGGAGCAAACAAGTGAGCATCAGCCCTCCATGGTCACTGCATCAGTTCCTGCCTTCAGGTTCCTATCCTGTTTGAGTTTCTGTCCTGACTTCTTTTGATGATGAACAGTGATGTGGAAATATGAGCCAATAAACACTTGCCTCTCCAACCTGTTTTGTCACAGTAATAGAAACCATAGCTAAGACATCTTATTTTTCTCTCCATAGCCATTTAATTAACAGCTGCTGGGGACAATCTCATTGTAACTTTGATTCACAATTATGAGATAGCGGTCAAATTGAACCTTATTTTACCCCTTGGCTATCTACTGGTTTTCTTTTGAAAAAAATGTCTATTTTAATCTCAAATTATTTAATATGTTTGTGTTTATTGCGCTGTTTAGTTGCAGATAGTCCATATATATTTTAGTTATTAATTTGTTACTCTGTGTATTCTTAATTTTGGCTTTCCACTGTATGGATTGACCTGCTGTGCAGAACCTTCCTATTTGGACACAAGACAACTTGTCTGTTTTCATTTTTGTGGCCTGTTCTGTTGAACTCCCATGCAGACATGGCTGAGGCCAAGCAAAGAAATTCTTCCCTATGTGATCTTATAGGAGTTTCATGGCTTGAAGTTATGTGTAATGTTTTCATTTAGAATTTTGTTTTCAATGTTGCTTTCATATATAGTTTCAGCCATATGTTCTTTTTTATATCTATATCAACAGATATAGATGATTGATAGATAGATAGATAGATAGATAGATAGATAGATAGATAGATAGATAGATAGATAGATGGAAGGAAGAAATGAAAGAAAGGAAAGAAAGAAAGAAAGAAAGAAAGAAAGAAAGGAAGGAAGAAAGATGGATTGATGAATGGCAGAAACTTGTTTAGTTATATAATGATCATAAATCTACCACTGACAATATTTGTGAGTTCAAGGAATTTTAAGATATGTACAGTAAAATCAGAGTGTTTTTTTCTTTTTATTTTATTATTATTATTATTATTATTATTATTATTATTATTATTATTATTATTTGGCTTTTTAAGACAGCATTTCTCTGTATGGCTTTGGAGCCTGTCCTGGAACTCACTCTGTAGCCCAGCTGGCCTCAAACTCACAGAGATCCTCTTGCCTCTGCCTCCTAAGTGTTGGGATTAAAGGCATGTGCCACCACTGCCCGGCAGTATTTTTTTTTTCATGATATCTTCCAATATCTATGTTTGTGATGGTGGAATATTATCTGTTTAGATTTGTCTGTTAGAAAGTCAAACTCTCTGCATTTGCAATTTTATAAAAAAAAATTGAAAAGAAACATAACCGCGCCTTTTAATGATGGGTTTCATCATCCTTACCAGTACTCCATCCATCAGCTACAAAGTGAGAGACAGAGGACGTGCATACAGCTTGCTTGGTCTCTTTAAAGAGTACTCATAACATGATTTTATGAAGAGACTGTATTCAGGTTAGTATCTAACGTTTTGTGCATAATTCACAAAGATTCCACCACAGCACATACTTCTGGAAACTGACCATAAACACTGTGCCTATGTGTGGATGTGTGTGTGAATTTGCATGCGGTATGTCTGCTGTGAAGGCAAACAGTTGGGAGGGGGGGGGGAGTGAACGTGTGTGAAGCCAGAGTAAACACCAAGTTCCTTACTCCATGTTCTATCTACCCACCGAATTCTTTCGACAGAGAGTCTCACATTACACATCAACTTAGGCTGGCAACCAGTAAGCTCCAGCAATCCTCCTGTCTCTAACTCACACAGCACTAGGGTACAGGCATGTGACTCCTTAGTTCTGGGAATTTTAACTAAGAGCTTCACACGTACATGCCAAGTACTTTCACCCATAGAGTCATCTCACCAAACACTGGGTAAACTTTTCAAGCGACATGTCACTGCTTTTCTTTCAAAATTATGTGTAAGAGCACATATGGACCCTGATTTAAAAACAAATAAAGTTAGAGTTGGAAACACTGTTGAGTGGTTAAGAGCTATGGATGCTCTTTCTGTAGGGCTCAGTTTCAATTCCCAGCACCCACACAACAGTTCACAACTATCTGTAACTCCAGTTCCAGGGGATGTACAATCACACCTGACATTTTCAGGTACTATATCCACATGCTCCCCAGACATATATTTGTCAAAACCTGAATACATAAAAAAGATAAAATAATTTTTTTTAATTAAGGTTCATTGAAGTTGATGTTAGATCACCCACTCAACAAGAATGAGTTTCAGGGTTACACCTACAATACCATTACCTGGGCTTACAGAGAAAAACATGGATCATGTACAGTTTCTGCACAGAAAATGGTACATTGTGCTCCGGTGGTTTGAAAACAATATATAGAGCAAATTTGTGCTTAGGAATAAATCTAGGTAAATTAACATAAGATAAAAACTTGCCACCAATTACATATAGTGTAAGCAATAAATAGCTTACTCTTCATGAGCAAGACTTCAGAAATGCTCTCTTCAGCAACAATAACAAAAACATGAAAGAGTACAAAGACCTTACTGTGGGGTAATGAACACTAAATAAATGTAAAAAGGAGAAAACTACTTACTGATTTATATTAGCTGACAAAAATCATATGATGCATTCACTAAGCTAGATGAAGAATGATCTAGAGTCTTGAAAAAATGAAAGGATTCTATGAATTGACCATTGGATTTTGAAGTAGGAGCGCAATTATCTTAGTTATGCAGCCTTGTCTGCCCAGTAAATCCGGGAACTCGTGATGTTTTCTGAGGCACTGTGCAGAGATGTGTGATGCTGCAATGCCTGTGGTTTTCCCCAGCAACAACCCAGGTGTATAAAAGGCCCTTGGCAGATGGTGACAGCCAGACTCAAGGAACCTACCGGTTATCATCCTCTGAACAGTCCACTCCTGACACCATGTGTTACTATGGCGGATACTATGGTGGCCTGGGCTATGGCTATGGTGGCCTAGGCTATGGCTATGGTTGTGGCTATGGCTGTGGCTGTGGAGGCTATGGTGGCTATGGTGGCTACGGTTATGGCTGCTGCCGCCCACTGTGCTGTAGAAGGTACTGGACCTGTGGCTTCTACTGAAGAGATTCTGTAGCTGCGTCTCCTCCTAACTATAACAACCTCTCTAAGTCAAAGTATCTCCAAGTGTCGTAAAACGAGAATTATTTTAATGGCTTCAAAAACACTTTTATATTCTCAATTATCTGAAGAAGAAAAAAAGAAATTCAACTTGTCTATATGGTTTCATTCTAATCAATAATACAGTATGACAGTCTATAAAAAATCTCTTCTGAGAATGTACTTAATAATAATGTAGACTACATCAAACTTGGCTCTTCACTTACATGTAAAATAGATTTGTATTGTTAAATAAACCATATTTGTTTCAAGTATTGCCTTGTTCCAGTCCTAACAATTGCCTACAATAGTCTTCCAAATGTATTTGTGAGTTTGCAAAAGTTGCATGTGTTCATTTGCTGCTGGGAATGAGAGAGGACAGAGAAAAGTGAAACTGTCCTTTTGAGATCATAAGGATTCTAAAAATGGTTGGGGCAAAAATATCAATTATTACTAACAAGCCATAAGAGCTTACCTTTATATAGCTTTTAATATCTGCCACTGCTTCTCTATGCCATGGTTTTGTTTTAAAAACAAGTATTTCCCTTTATATTTGAGAAATCATGTTAGTGAGACTTTACGGGTGTAGTTATTGAGCAGAGATGACACTGATGGACATGTCAAAGTGGACAAGGAAAAGCCCATGAGTCCTCAGTCTTGCACAAATACTATAGGTGGATATGGAAAACTGGAAGAGTGATAGGTAGTCCTCCCCAGGAAGGTGCCAAATGGTCAGCTCTGAAAAATTACATACAAGTAACATTATAATGACTGAGCAGGTTATATCTAGAAATATACATGTATATACATATATGCATGCAATAATAATTAAAGAAAAAAAGGCCATAAATTAGATGGAGAGTGAGGAGGGGTATGTGGGAGGCTTCGGAAGAAGGAAAGAGAAGGAAGAAATGTTGTAGTTATAAATCTCAAAAATTTTTCAAAAATTAAAGATGAGTGTTTTCTACAAGAGCTGTACTTCACAACAGAGGGCTTACATTTCTATGTGTTTGTGTGCATTGTGCCTTGCACAGCACCTGTGCTTGGATTGTGTACACTACAGCCCTATATTATGAAATGTTTCTCACCTTTTAAAATATCTCAACTAGAGAATGGCCATTTGCTTTATCATACTGATAAGGTCAGCACTACCAACAGCATTCTGGCTTACCAACAAGACTTAAAAATATGACTTCCTAGCTGGGCGGTGGTGGCGCACGCCTTTAATCCCAGCACTCGGGAGGCAGAGCCAGGCGGATCTCTGTGAGTTCGAGGCCAGCCTGGGCTACCAAGTGAGTTCCAGGAAAGGCGCAAAGCTACACAGAGAAACCCTGTCTCGAAAAACCAAAAAAAAAAAAAAAAAAAAAAAAAAAAAAAAAAAAAAAAAATGACTTCCACATATGTCATTTTATTTTAAATACTTAAAAAACACATACATTGTCCAGAACAAGGTAAGTTTATTAAACCATGAGATAGTTTATCAGTTTCAAATCAACATTAGAATATTTTGGTTTACACAGGTCTATTATTTTTCAAATATGTAATCCTTATTCCAAATTTTCTCTAAAATCTAATCATTTTCACCTTTGAAATAGTTATGTTTCATTGCAAAAGTCAAGATGTAAACAACAGTGCTATGTGCATCTCCCAGAGGACTGTTGATAAGGATGCCATGAGAGGCCATTGATATGTACTTTATCAGGGTTTTCCCTGTTAGCGTCTCATTCTTTTTACCTGCTTGACATGTCCCAAGAGCTGCCAATCTGAGGAAGATCATAAACTCATTGAGAATGATTTTAAAAAATTAGTCTGAAACTTGATCTAAACTTAGATTATCTTGGCCAAATCCAACTGATGTAACTGTTAGACACACACACACACACACACACACACACACACACACACACACACACACACAGAAGTTTCTTGTGCTTGCCTCTCAGGCCGGTTACTGACTCAACCATCTCCCCTGTCCTCTTTCATACACTCGTGCCATTCCTAAGAAGGTCCAGCATAGACAGTCACAGTCTGTCGGTGCCAATTCCCCACTTCTCAACTAAATCCACAGCTGGGCTTCTGCCACATACACCCTGTGCCATTCCAGAAACTACTATAGTGGTCAGCATTGCAATTAGAGAGCCCGGACTGTGGCTGAGGTGTGAATGACTCTGCAGCTATCTTCTTTATCTGGTGCCAAAATTCCAGTCCTATGGATTCTGTTGAGAAACATAAAAAATAAAAATAAAAAGAAATTTAAAAAGAAAACAGTGCAGGTGATTTCACTGCCCCCTCTTCTGAATTTTGATTAGTGATTGTGAAAAACCACTGAGTTCTCCCTAAAGTCAGAGAAGGAAAGGTAGTATTATTAGGTAACACTAATGTAAGTGTATGCATGCAAGTAAACCTATACCCACTGATAAAATATCCAAAATATTAAAACCCTATCAGAATAGACTGATGTCATAACCAATAATTGCACTAATTACTCTGTAATACAATATTTCTCACAAGGTGAGCCTCATTTTTCCTGCTCATATTTGTCGTCTTTATCTTTTGTTTGGTGGTAGGCTGGTTTGGACAGGATCGCACAGAGCCCAGGATGGCCTTAAGCTTGCTATGTAGCTGAGGATGAACTTTTATCATCACATCCAGCTGTGTAGCTGAGGATGAACTTTAATCATCACATCCATCTGTTGTCTCTGTTCTCCGCTTATTCTTGGACACAGAACATTTGAACGGAAACGTATTTCTTTGTTTCTGAACAGCCTATTTTATTTTGGCCTGTTCAAATATATTTCTATTCAGGCTAAATTTGCAGTCATGGGGAACTTTTCATTTGATGATATTTCAGAGAATTCATACTATTTTCATTAAAAGGGATTAATTCATTTCTATTTGACTTTCAATAGTTTCACATAAAGTAAAAATCTAAAGAGTGTCATGTGGTGTCCTTTATTGTGAGAAACATTTTTCCCAAATGATATTTTTAGCTACATTAAATTTATATTCATTTAAAAATACCATCAATAGAGTAAGTCCCAAGTTTACCAGACATTATGAAAAGTTATGTGTTATAATCTCATTAACACAGTAAAACAAATACATTTATTTTTTTCTCTAAAATCCTAGATACTTTTCTAATATCCTCTTTAATCTCCAGGTCTTTGTGACGGGATTAGTAAAACAGTTGTATTAATAATCAGTGAAATAGAAGCAGAAAACAGAAAACAAGGATAAAATAAATAGAAATCAGATAACAAACTGACATATTAAAGCTCTCAGGTATCAATAATTACTTAAAATATAAATGCTCTAAATTCACCTATGAAAGGATAGTATAAGCAGACTGGAAAAATGTATCATTCAACAATGTACAATTTGCATGTAACTCACTAAAGAAAAACAACCTCTTAGATTTAATATAAGCAATACAAATACTATGGCATGCCGCTATTAATAAACATTATATTAAAAAGCCACTTTGGTTAAAGGTTCTGTTCAGGAACAAGCAGCTTCTTATTCCCCCATGTGCATTTCCCATGAGGCGTTTGTCTCACACTGACACAACTGTGATTGCTGCATTCAGTTGTCATGACCAGAGTTGCTGTAACATTTCTGTCCACAGTTTTGTAAATACATTTGTTTGTATTTTTCTCTTTTCTTTGATTTCTTCCAATCTTTTTTTTTTGTTTTTTCCTCAATTTCTTTAAGGGAATTTTTCATTTCCTCTTTAAAGAACTCTATCATCTTCATTAAGTTATTTTTAAGGTCGCTTTCTTCTGTTTCTCCTAAATTGTGATGCTCAGGTCTTGCTGTTGTAGAACCACTAGGTTCTGGTGGTGCCATATTGCTCTTCATGTTGCTGTATGTATTTTTACACTGGTGTCTACCCATCTCTTCCTCCAATAGGTGCAAGAGGTGTCTGTGTCTAAGGGAGCTGCTCTTGGTCCACTCTGTACTGACTGTGTCTGTGTCTCAAGGGGCTACTCTTGGACCAATCAGAGCTCTTGGTCCAATTGAGCTCTTGGTCCAATCAGGGTTGGCAGATTCTTGTCTAAGGGAACTGCTCTTGTTCCTCTTGGTTTAATCAAAACTGGCAGATTCTGTGTCTCAGGGAGCCACTGAGGTCACGGGGGACCAGTGGTTTGGGGCAGGGGGTGGGTCTTATAGATTGCAAGGTCGGGTGGGATGGGGAATGTTGGTGGGGATGCCTGCCTGCAGGAGTCTTCCCTGCTGGCTTGCATCTGGGGGAGCAATTGGTGGGCAAAGGGGAGCACAGGTAGTGCCTCCAGGGCCCGGGTGACTTTTAACTAGTTGTCTCTCATTTATTTAATAAGTTTATTTACATACTCTTGAATTAGAATATGTATGGATTGCATTCACCTCAAAATACTCATACAATCTCTTCTTAAAGTTCTGTCAATTTATTCTTTACAGTTTGTGTTGAAATAATTTTATGTGATTTAATGTAAATAGAACTTTTTGTCAATTATTAACCCCTCTAGTACCATTTAGTCACAAGATAATCCTATCCCAACAGCAACGCATACCATTTTTCTGTTAACCAATATACACAATTTAGAAGTCTACATGTCTCTATAAATGTTGCTTTGTGGGGACTGGAGAGATGACTCAGTTAGTAAGAGCAGATGCTACACTAACATGAAGACCTGAGTTTAGGTGCCACCACCCACAGACAAAGCTGTGTGGTATCCAGCCCCAGGAGGGTTAGAAACAAGAGGTCGCTGGCACCTGCCATCCTAGTTCCACATTCAGTGAGAGATCCTGTATCACAAAAATAAGGTGCAGAGCAACAGAACTAGGCACTCAACATCCTCCTCTGGGGTGCATAAGCACATCACCTACACACACACACACACACACACACACACACACACACACACACATTTGTGCTCTCTCTTTCTCTCTTGCACTCACATATACTCACATTCACACTCACAAAC